ATCTTGTTGCAAGATGTGTATTTTTTACTTTTTTTTTTCAATCGCGTGCAGCATTTTCCTATCGTCGGGGAAGCAAGTTTGACGACAGGAAGTCGAATGTTGCTCGTCCAGTTATATTCTCGATATTTTATGCTGCTCATGTCCATCATGATGCATTAAAATCTCACGCACGCAAAACACCCGAGTTCTTGCATAACTGTGCGTGTCTCGAATCACTCCGATAGTACGCTATTAATCTTCCAGGCTAAACTTTTCACCGTTCTTATGATCGATTTCGTTAATTAATAATTATTTATGCCGCAATTTACATTATATTATAAATGAAGTTTATATAGTGTTCGGATTTCTCGACTAGAAACTCATTCGTATCGTAAACAAAAATTAAGTTTTGTGTGATTTTCATATTTTTCATTACAGTACTTTGTTTTTAACTTAATAATTATTATTAAAATTTTTTATCTCGACATTACCTATCCCATATATATTTTTTTCCTGATGATCTAAAGAGATTTAAGAATATAGATTGCAATCTGTATACATAATGTAATACAACGGGATTTATAGAAGCTGTTAATTTTCCCCTTTACATTTTAGCATCCTGAATTACTTGCGTGTTCGCAGCAACTTAAATGAATTATACCGTAACCATGAAGGTCATTGAACCGTGGTCTGTCAGAAGAATTCAGAAAAGTATCACTTTGCCAAAGGCACGGTTTGTTAAGGCAGGTTTTACGAATCTGTATGACAAAACACACATAAGAACACATGGCGCGTTATTGAGCAATTCATATATATGTACAACGCACACTTTGTCCGTACTTATTCTTTATCCTAAGATCTAAGAAAGATCCAGGTAAGATATTTAAGTAAATGTAACGAAATTCGCGTAAATGTTACAAAATGCATATAAATGACTATGAGTTTATCAACTCGTTTCCTTTTAACAAACTATAGTTTATTCTGCAAATTTATGTTTGCATTTGATGTTTGAGAATAATTACAATTATATTCATATTCACAAGACTTTCCATTTGCATCATCGTTGTTTCATTAGGCTATTACTTGGAAGGCAAGCGTACTGAGGCGGAAATATATAGGAGTAGAAACGTCAATCGTTTCGTAATAAGAATATATACATCGCATAAGTATAATTTCATTTTAGACTCTTAATATATTATTCGATAATAGTTCTCACCTAGCTTGCGTATTGCTTGCATCTCACGATTTCGAGGCAACAATCCTCGCTCGGAAGCGTTCACGCGTAAGATGAGTTTCAATATGGGGGGGGGGGGAAGGATTGATAGAGAGGGGAGAGATGCGAAGTTCTCCAATGCGGCGGAAGTCGTACAGAACGAGGCTCGCGTGTCGTTTGCAAATTACACTTGCTCGGGGGAACGTCTTCTTCGACGCGCCTTTGTTTCGCCCTTCGGGAACTCGTGAGTCAGAGGCGGGAAAAGAAAAGAATACCGCGCCTCTGTGTGCACGACGTGTGTACAACAATTACGGCGAAGGAGAAAAGCTGCGGGAGAAAGGGAAATGAAATAAAAGCGACGCCGAGATGCGAAAGAAACGTAAGCTCGTTAGCATTTTTGCTTGCTTTTGCGTCGCTGTAACAAATGACATCAGATCCGCCGTACGTGTCTAAGTAAATCCTATCCGGATTGTCTGGCACAAAGAGAGAAGCCGAAAGGTCAAGTACCTTCCTGACTTGGACTACGCGACATGCTTGATTTCGCTTGAGAGTAACCAGTATGGGGGTATCTTGTGAGATGTCGTGACGGAAGTGCGGCATCGGCATCGGTGGTCTTGGGTATCTACAATTGATCCTACATGATGATACCAATCTTGCAACTTTAATGACGTAATAAGAGAACTTAGTAAGGGATACCGCTACGACTACGGATTCGTTACTTTGCCTTAAAGCTGGTATCTTTTTGTACAAGAACAGCTTGTATTTATTAAATTTAACAAAATTAAATAAAAATGTGTTATATTGTACAATTAATTTTCAATTAATCAATTAATTAATTAATTGATAATTAATTGTATAATACATTTTTTTTAGGTTTTTAATTAATTCTTAATTAATTTTAAATTAATTTAAGAAAAATAAATCGATTTTTTTGAGAGCTCTTTGAAGTTTGTGATGTAGCAATAATTTTTATTTGCAAAAATAGTCTGTGCAGAGAAAGTCTGTGCAGATAAATTCTCGAAAATCTTGCAAAGGAAAGTAAAGAATTCGTACAATTTTCTCCTCCGTAATTCTTTTTCCTGCTAAGTAAGACGTATCAAAAAGACGAAATAAATCGCGAGAACGTGGCCGGTCATCGACCTCGCGGAATCCGGGATACTTTTGGGATCTCATCTCGATACTTTCTTCGAACAATCCGGACCCGATATTACGAGGAGCGGCATCATTAACTTTCCGCGTGCCGTTAATTGCTTTCTACCGTGATCGAGCGTCATTTCTCAATTTAGTAACGAGAGAGAACAATGGCACTAAGGAAACGCTCGTCAAACGTGACTTTTAATCATCCGTTTGAAGATGGGACTTTGCAATTATCTACTCTGCCCATATTGTGAAAGAAAGAAACGAGAGAAAGAAAATTAAAATAAATAAAAATAGCACTCTTTTTTATAAATAATTCTTTTATAATTCTTTTTTATTACGCTTTTTCATGATCACGAAAATTTTTTTAAAATTGAATGACTTGAAAAAAAACATATGTTATTAACGGAGTAGAACGTTTCGTTTAAATCTAGAAGCGCACGTAGGACTTCAAATGAATGTTTTGAACCGCCAACGAACATTCTCTTTCGCGAAAGCAATACTCGATACAATCCGCGATACTCCCTGATGGATAATAACCCGAATAATGCGATAGAACGTCGGGTCTGGATAGAATTCTCCATCCAGGCGAGAGCAGGAAGAGAGCACCAGAGTACGACGTGACTGCCTGCAACGCGCGCGCGCGCGCGCGCGCACGAGACGAGAGTCAAGTTCACAACTCTCTCATCATTGTCTCTCCGCGGGCTGATAATGATAATCCGCCGATGATTATTGTCATTACGACTCGCGCTCGACATGCGAGCTTCCCAATTTACTCAGACGCCATTCCTCTTATTCGTCTCTTTGAACTCGGGGCTGTAATGAATTTTCTGGAGCGATAATCCGCAGCCTCATTAGACGCGATGAATGTGCACGAGTCCCGTTTTAATCGCCCGCTGGTTAATGGCAGATTTCGTCGATTATATCCTCCTCCCTCTGTTGTACTAACGAGATAATATTTTCCGAGCGTAAAATATAATATAAAGAAGGAAAAAGATACACGCATACATATTGCGCATTGTGATCGCATCTGCAACGATATATAAGCCTTTGTCGTGGTTAATGATAACCATTCATTTCGCTCCGCGTTCAATTTTCATCGTGCGTTAAAAAGTACGCTAGCCTGACTCTGCAATTTCGCACACTCCGCCATGTGCGTACGCGATAAGTTTAATTGAAGTTCTCATCGTTATAATCCGTAATGCGATTGCGCAAAGCTGATGAACGAAATTGTAATGCCAAGTGGCCGGCGCGTGATTTTACGCTATGGAAGCTTTATACCGTATACGAACTCATTTTTATAGCTAATTAGTCACGGAACAACGGATACGGGCGAGTTTTCATCGATATCGTGAAATTTCTGCGGCCGGCAAATCGACCGAGCGAAGAAGACGATTCGCTCTTCTTCAACTACTCGAGAATATATCGCATGAATGTGTAATTCCTTTGTTATGGCAAGAGGATTAAATAATTTACAGATCTCACGCAAATGCGTGCATTACGTGTGCGACGTGATGTGTCATTGTAGTTAAATTATAATTTCTCAGAGCACTTTATTCTGCTAGTCGCGCTAACGTCACCTCCAACAATCGCAAGACACTTTGCGGAATATATGAGTTTCGTAATTATTGTCGAAATCAATGATTCGAAATATCAGGAAGAGTCGATCCGCGAAGATAGTTCCGATTAGGCTTCGACTGGGCGCGGCTTGTTTGTTGCGAAATCGAAAAGGATTAAAACAGAAAGCGATAGTTCACGTCGCATTCGTCCAACCGCAACAATCTCACAATTGGCACAAATTTTCGCGTTCATTTTCGCGTTTTACGGCCCATGCAAAATTACGCGGCGCATTCGCTTTCGTCTCGATGTTACGAATAGTCGTTACTATAGCTGCTGACCCGATCGAAGAATCTCATCGTCTTCCGACCGCTTTAATGGATTGTCGTGAACGCTTCGAAACAGAGCGCCCATAACGAAATTAACAGACACGGATGTTACACCGGAAAACAATTTTGCCGGCGAAACGTTTCATAAAAAATCGTAAAAACAGCTCGTCGGACTCTTCTCTGTAATTAGACCCGCTTCAAGCAACGGAGAATCTCACGTTTCTCCGACTTCGCGATTACCTTGAAATCGAGAGCAGACGCGATTCGTAACAGGTGAACCCGGGTTATTAAACTCCGAGTTATTAATTATTTACGCAATTCGTAGTCCCGACGTGGCGGGCATTAATAACGATAAATTACCGTACTACGAGTACAATGGCCGCGTACGTTATACGGATGTAGGAATCATTCAATGGATGTCGACGATCGATTCGTATCGTTGAGCGTCGCTGCTCATTCAGGTATATCTTTGACGCGCACGAATACAAGATATCAAATAAATTGATCACGTCGTTCTTAATGCGCACCGTTACACTATCCATATTTAAAAATGATCTCGATATAATATTCGAAGCGGCACGTCTCTGATCCAAAGCTGACGATCAAAGTCTAATTTTTGCACACGATGATAATCCGTAATTTAGATTCAAATTTATAGAAAGAGACAGAGAGGGAGACTTATATAAATTAGATTTCATAATCTAGATTTATTTTACGCTAAAATATAATTTGCATATAATAATATCGCGCATAATTTGCTAATTATAATTTATTTCGTGTTTCAGCAACTCCAGCGATAGCGAGCACCGTGCAAATCGAATGTGCGAGCGAATCGATAATCGTTCACATCTCGACGGAGGGCAACACGGACTTCCACGGTCTGGTCTATCCACGTGGGTTATCCAAGAACAGCTCCTGCCTGCAGGAGTACAAGAGTCAGCCCGCTCCGATCACCTACAATCTGCCTCTCAGATCCTGCAACACCATGCCCACTGAATTGGTGAGTTTTTCCCATCATTATTCATTATTACTCGAGCCTATGAATCAGTATCAGTGAGTGCGTTCTTTCACACCCTAATTTTTTATATCTTCTACATTTATTTCGTGCCCTTTTCTCTTTCTATTGACAATAATTTTCGCTTCTCGCGTTTACGATGGTGGCGCAAAGTCCCGTGCAAACCAATTAGGTTATTACCCATTATCTTAACAAGCGCCGTAGAATTATCAGAAAGTGCTCGTTATTACGTTGCATCACCCCGTCTGCACCTTCGACCAATCGTTTTAATTTGGTTTATCGCCTCTATCCGTTTAGTTCCTCGCCAATTCCCCGGTATCTATCGGTAGCAGTAATTATGATTCGTGCTTTATAGCGAGGGCATGGATCGAAATTATTCGAAAGGCTCAATCAGAGGTGGAAATGGTGCCGATATTCGTAATCTTCGGCCTGTGACGCAAGTGTTTCTCGTTTTTCTCGCTTATTCCGATACACCTGAACGCAGAACTGCACTTATTACGCTCATTATGATTTATGATATTTCAGAAAATTACAATTGTATTTATTAGGTATCATATGAAGAAATCGTAATTTTTCGAAAGCAATCTGTTAAAACTTGCGGCAGATGACGAAACAAAAATTATTGTATTTATAAAGACTATTATACAGGAATATAACGATGAAAATTAACTTGCAATAATGAAATCATAATTGTTGATTTTATCAATAAAAATTGTTGATTAAATGGATAGTCACAACAATGAATTTGTTTTCAAAGACGTTGAAGGAAGAAAGAAAGAAAGGAAGGAAGGAAGGAAGTTCTGTATATATAGGCGTAATCCTGTTTAATGAACGCGATAGTATCGCAATAATCACACTAATAAGATCGCTATTAACATTCCTAATGTTGCTATAACAATTATTATTATACCATTATGTTATTATTATCATCATCTATGATATACAAACGGGAAAAAGCAGCTTGTTTGCGGTCGAGTATCCTCGATACGTATCGCGGTTGCCTTAACAATCATCCGCGATCGCCCTCGTCAGTAATAAAAAATAAAAAAAAGATATCGAATACGCGCGCGAGTATTCTAATACGAAGAGACGAGATGTATCAGTAGCAGCTGAAACATAAAGAGGAGGGTAGTGGACGGAAATACAGTAGTGGTGATAGCGGCGGAGGTGGTGGAGGACACGTTCGTGTAACGAGGAAATCGTGTGTCGAGGCGAGAGATCGCTTCCTCGCCATACCATAACTGGACCGTTATGTGACCGGACTTGAGGCCTTCTACTTCTTGGCAGCGTTACAAGAGGGATATACAGGGTGTCGCAGAATCTGAACGAGGATTTTTCGCAACTTCGGTTTTATTCCGTAAAACCGAAGTTGCGAAAAATCCTCGTTCATGATATTTTATAAATAATTAAAATAAGCAACGTGTATTGACATTGTTGACAGGTTTTCCCTGTCAACGATGAATATTGCTTATTTTAATTATTTATAAGAATATCATGCAAAACTGTAATCTGTTTTCAATTTTTCGTATGTCGTTCTTTATAACTACATTTTAAGAGAAATTTCTATTAAAGTTTAATGAAATTATAAGTGAGAAATATAATTTTCTTCTCTTTTTAATTTGTTATAAAAAATCTTTATATTTTTAACTGTTAATCAGTTAATTATTGAAAAATTATAGGATATATTTTTGCCGAGGAAAGATTATTTTTAATTATTAATCAAGGTTGATTAAAAAGACAGCAGTTTTGAAACATTCTGTATTTGAAACTAAGCTTTACGCCTACACCAATGTACTCATGCTTATGATACGCTGTATTCGAATCTATAATCAAATTAATTAAACGCCGATAAACGCCGCAAAAAGGTATTTCAAAATGTAATATTGTAGAAGATCGGAAATTATCGTATATTTCCGACGTTTATTTAGATTACATAAATTTATTTTTACGAGGCATACAAAAATCACATTCTCTAGGCTATAATTTATATTAAACACTAAAATAAAATTTGTTCAGAATGGTTATCCAGATCGATATATTATCATAAGACAACACCCACATAATGTAGGCTGGATTTTTAATTGTCGGCTTTTCACGCGGGCCGCGAGGCATTCGCATAAATTTGTAGTGTCGAACATTTCGCGAACCGCCTACAAAGGTAGAGCTGTAATCATCGGGTGTGCGCGATTGTGTGAATCACATTCGATTAACGCGATCTCGGGCAGGGAATAAAGGGGAGATAACGTAGCTCGCAGCTGACGCCTCTTTTCTGCAACGTAGAATGCGAAATATATGTCAAGCCGCTGACTAACGAATTGCTTGTTCCTTCGATGGACCGATAATAACACCCGAGAAGATCCCGAGGCGAAACATGTTCCACCATATCGGCGATAACCGCATTCAAGTCGCAATCGCGATAATAACGACAACGATAAACGTAGATTAGACGCCGTAAACTTAATCGAGGATGAGACTTAGATGAGAGAAATAGCAGCAAAAATGAATATCCGGTTAAGCAATTAGCAAAAAACGTCATTAATGAAGAATTATATCGATACGCTAATCATTTCCATCTTCCTTTCGTGCAAACGAAAATAACTGTATGTGTGACCGAAGGCAAGTATATTCTCGCGCGTCTGTACCTCAACAAACTATTCATTACGACGGATATGAGCTACTTCCATTAACGGTGTATTATATCATTAACGGTCCAACAGATTGAACTCGCTAGCGTTGCATTCATCGTTACACTCGAACGTGAGCCGTATGGCTTGGCAATTCGCTTTACAATCGCACAACCCGACAATTTGATTTACCAACCGCGGCAGAGATGTAAAACCCTGCGTCGCTTGCGTGCCCCTCGGGAGGACAAAGATGCAACGACGACGACGACGACGAAGAAGACGACGGGGAAGAGACTAGTTTCTCTCGGCGTGTAATGGCAATAGCACGTATACCGCCTGACACCGAGAGGGGCCGTATAATTTAAGGGCTGGCACGCCGAAGGGTACAATAATTCGCGCCGGTACGACGCCGCTCGCTCGTAAGACGAGGTCGGATAAGGCGAAGGGGGAGTCTTTGACCTCCGCGTGTACGAGCGGTTCCCGGTAATTCTCTAGTGGATCTCCGGTGTGGGCGTCGCGAACCATCGTGGGCAGTCGCGCCGGTGGAACATGCGTCGGTGGTTTTCGCACGCGCGTATGTTAAACCGACGTTAAACAACTTTAGCGTTCCTGCATAAATTTGCGTCCGTTTGATACGCCTCCCCTCCTTACTTCTCGAATTATTATTATTTTTTTTTTTTTTAGATAAACGCAAGAATGTGTAATATTAAAATCCCGAGATAATTGTATACTGTACAAGGAGAGTAGAAATATTTTTATTTAAAAAAATTATAGGATACTCTCAAAATTATATGTTTCCGCTTTATTTCCTTTTTCTTAAGTTTTATTCGCGAGTAACGGTAGGATGAACACGGATGAAATGATACGCGAGAAGCTACATCCTAATATGGTGAAGCTGTATTTCAAGCGATTCTCTTACGTAATCACCTTCAAGTGCACATTCTCGCGTACACAAATGACTCGATGTTCTTCTTACGCAATAAAAAACTCGCATAAAAGAACATATAATGCGCTCTCAAATTCCCTTATGCGCAAAATCTTATTACAGTCGTTCGATAAATTTATTTTTCTCTTTAATGTATGCACATCGTTATAAGAATTTCTTTAAAAATGCAAATAGACACTTTCTTCAAGTTTGCGCTCTCGAGAATTAATATTTTATTCAACTCTCGCAGTCTTTCGAAACTTTTCTCATAAATAATTCTGCTTCTCTTGGAAGTTGGCGAGAATTGACATGCAAAATCTTCTTATGAATTTTACGATCTTCTGGCTTTTCATCCTTTCCTATTTATAAATTTACTATCGATGAAGTCTTAAGTTGAATGGGTCACTATCTGCAAAAGCAATGATGTGGGTTTTACTTGTGTTGGTATTGGAAAAGTAAAAGTCAGCAACCGGTTTAATTCGTATTTTTGATGAATGTGTACGTTCAATGCACTTATACATATTTTCACAACTTTCTCAAAGTTCTACGCGTAATGAAAATATATGATACAAGATGTAAAATTTAAGGAAATATTTTTCGCTTCAATCAATAAAATAATAGATTTAAAATTATTGAAAAATATAGATTAAAAATTATTATATATATAAATACATATTCTCATGATAGTATAATGATTAAAAGATTTCGAATTTGTTATTATATTAATTATATAATAAGAGAACAGAAATATTAGTATTAATAGAGAACTACTAATTGAGAACAGAAATATTAATAGAGAGAGCAATTCTTATAATTTTACATAGTCTGTGAGAAATTTAACCGAGAGAAACGTGCCAAATTTTGTCAAGGAAACTCGTCGTTTACCCGAAATGGTTCCATGAGATTTAAGTGGCGAGTCTGTTGAAATCGATGTGACTTTCTCTCCATTTACCGAAACATTGGACCACCTGCTGATAAAGTCGTTATTATATAATTCAATTTTTTCGATCTCCCTTTTTGGTCCTCATTAATTTTTTCTCTTCGATATAAATTAAATATTCAGAATTTTTAATTTCCATTTTTCTTCTTCTTAATCTAAATTCTGTTTAATAATCTGACTTCTACCTTATGATGAAAAAAGATTGATGTCGCGATCCATGATCTTAATATGTGTAAAAAATTAGCTTAGTTAGTAGTTTTCTTCAACCGGATAAGATACAAAATCACGAGAAAAGAATTCACTAGAAGTAGTCAAACCAGTTCGACAATACATGTAATGCGTTCGTCGTTTATGTACCGCCTGTCTACAACGCGTGGTAACGCGTTTATTTTACTTTAACTTTATGCATTTAATTTATCTACTCGTACATTTTGTTACAACGTCCATCAACGATACTAATCTAAAATGTATGAAGAGTTTAAATTTGAATGACATT